TAAATACAACTGAGGTCCTAACAAGTCTCTGGACTCCAGGGCTGATTAGTGGAGATGCCTCACCTGCGGACTCACAGTGACGTTATGGTTCCCTCCTTTCCCCAGCAATTCATGCATGGAATCCGGTGCTGGTGGTCCCACATGATCACCAGGAGCCCCTTCTCTACAGCCTCCCCCAGCCCTTTACAGCCATAATCTGGACAGGACAAAGGTGGGTGGAATTTTGTGCAGTTCAAATGGTCAATAAGAGTGAAGTATGAGCCCACTCTCTTGATTCTGATTTCTGATGAGGAGACACACTTAGGACAGTTTTCTGTAATTTGTCCCATAGGACCAGCATGAATTTTCCCCATCCCCCAACATCTCTGTGAACATTGAACCACATACCTTTGCTCCATTGTCTTAGAAGATCTTCCTCTAGCATTCAAGAGTCTATATACAAGTTATTGGCTCTTTTGTACTACACAGGATTGAAGGGGTAAGAGACCATGCTGAAAAAGACAGCCACAGCTTGGTCAGCCATCTAACTCACTGCAGTGTAGGTGTTCTGGGGGTTGCCAATGGTGAAGAAGACTGTCAGGTAGATGATGTCTTGCATGGAGACACAGAAGCTCTGGTATAGGTTCAGGATCTCATGAGACTTTGTGACTTTCATCAGGAAGATTCCTAGGCCTTTGAACTCATGCTCTGTGCCCGATTTCCTAATGTCAGTCACCAGATGGGTTCTGGTGAAATCCAAGGAGTAGATGAGGCAGAGATAAGTTGCTCTGTCTGCCCTTCCGGAGGTCAGATTGCCAGCAAAATATCTACAGAATTGTGTGTGCTTGTCCACACCCTGGGGAACACCTCCATGTTTTTATCCTTGAAGTCAAAGGTAAGGGCTTTCATAAGGAAGAAGCAGATCACACAATGGCCAGTTTATCCCTCCTTGGGAATGTTGACTGTGAAGTCCAAGATGCCTGTGTACAGCTGTCAACTGTGACCTGCTTACTGTTGTGTTGCATCTGTGGCAGCAGCTTGACCACTGGATAGGGGCCATGACTGTCTTTGGGAGGCTGGTAGCCAGAATGTCCTCGGTAAAGGAGATGGCCTGCTATGCCATGGTGACAGGGCAGGCAGCTGAACTAGAAGACAGCTTGAATGGTTAACATCTGGGTTCAGCCCTCCTGCTACCCACTGAGAGGCCAATCCCTTCTATTCTTGATCTGGGTTAATTTAACCTGTCTCCCAACTGAGAAGCCTTGGTGTTATTCTCACCTCCTTTCTCTCACCCTCCACCTAGAGTCAGCTGCCAAATCTTGTTGCTTCTAATTTTGAAACATCATTTGATTCAGTCTTTCCCCAAACCCTTTGCTATTGGCTTAAAATAGGCCTTCATAATCTCTTCTTTGAAATATTATTGTAACAACCCATCATCTGTCTCCCTAACAGACTTTCCTAATCCATGTTCTTCATGCTGCCATTGTGCTCACGGAGATCAAAGCCTATGAAGTCACTTTTCTGTGTAAAAGCTCCCATTGGCTGTATATGTCCATGGGATTCAAACTACATAATTTGGCTACAAAGCTCCTAACTGCTTGGCCTTAATCTCTCTACCTTGTTTCCTTTTCTATTTTTTTATTTCCACAATCTGGGTTCCTGTTGCCTCATATACTCCCAGCATATAATCCTATACTTTCAAAAGTACACTTTTTGAAGCTACATTTTTTTTCTCACCTCTACCTCCATTCACTTGAAAAATCCCTGTATCTATTAACATTAAGTTTAAGCATCATCTCCTTGAGGAAGCCTTTCCAGATTGTCTCAAGTTACTGGATGTTCTGTTCTTTTAGCTTACAGATTCCTTCGTATTTGTAATAGACTTCAGTATAGTTTTTAATTTTTTCTATTTACATGTTCATATCTCATAGTAGACTGTAAGCTTCTGATTATCAGTGGATAATTGAATGAATATTGTTGAATGAATGCAATGTTTTTCTTTCTAGGATGCTTTTGATGTCAGTCTCTTCCTTTCTTCCTACTACAGCCTTAATAAACAATCAACTCAAACTTAGATTTTAGTAACCTCTAAAGCAACATGGTTCAATAATGTAGCTACTAGTCACATGGGGCCATTGAGCATTTGAAATTCAGCTCCTCCAAACTGAAATGAGCTGTAAGTGCAAATACAGACTGCATTCGGAAGACAATGTGAAAAAAATGTAAAATATCTCAATTTTTATATTACTCATATGTTGAAATTTTTAGATACATTGAGTTAAAATGTACTAGTAACGTTTGCCTGTTTCTTCTTAAATGTAGCTCCTAGTGTATTTAAAGTTAGAAATGTGGTGCACGTACTATTTCTATTAGACATTGCTGTGACCTTTTATTCTATCCTGTAGGTCATTTCTTGGTGGTAAACCTGTCTTCTGTTTTTCGGAATACTTGCATTGCTAAGCAAATTTCCAGAGGGAGGGTGTTAAAAGGTTACTTCTGGACTAACTTTCTGCCAAAAAAGTCCTTTTTATCATGCTACTAACCTAGTTGAAGAATCTGTAAGGCCGTAATACTTTGCTCCCCTAGTGTTCCAAAATCTATCATTCTTGACTTATACAGACTTCTTTCTCACTTGGACCTAACCAGTAACCCTGTGCTGTAGTCTGTTTTCCAAGCTACTTGATGTCTTTATGGTTGTGTGCATGTTGATTTTCCTCAATATCTCCCACTCTACCACCATTCTAAATCAAACCAGTTTTCTGGAGATGGCTGATAAATTTTACTGTCATTTTTTTTCTTTTCATTGAAACTCACTGATATCCTCTTAGTGATTATTTGTCAGAGTTGCACAGCTTAAGCTCTAATTTTCTCAATTACAGGGCATCTTCATTGCTATATCCGTTCAGTTTAATTCCACAAACATTTCTGAGTCCTTGTAGCAAGAACAGAGCTGGGTAGGCAAGAGGGTTACCATTACAAAGAGACTGAAATTAGCAACTGGTCTTACATAAAAGTATAGCATGGGGGCAAGCAGTAGATAAGACATAACTTGGGACCCCTGTATCCTGTATCAGAGTGCCTGTGTTGAAGTCCTGGCTCTGCTTCCAATTCCAGCTTCCTGCTGCTGCACACCCTGGAAGGCAGCAGGTGATGGCTCAGAAGGTAGGGTCCCCTGCCATTCACATGGGAGATCTGGATTGAGTTCCCAGCTCCTGGCTAACACTTGTCCCAGCCTCGCTGTTGAGGACATCTGGGAGAGAGAATCCACGGATGGAAGATCTCTTTCAAATAAAAAAAATCATAAACAAATAAAAGAGTATATGCCATAGCCCCCAGCTCATCACCTTTCTTAGCATCTGCCCCACCACAGATAATGGTTATTTTTCTTGTTTACATACATTCCATATTAGAAATTGCTAATAATCCTTAAAATACCAAATATTTCAAACTGTGTCACTCAGAGTTCAAGCCCTATGAGCTTGGATTAGGGAGCTCAAGGCTCTAGTCCTAGGCTTTTTTTTCTTGCCCTAAGATCACTGTTTATACACTGCCTGGTATTTGGCTACTTGGTCAAACACTTTCTCCACTTCACGAAAGAGCTATTGCCATGTGTCTGAGACTCTCAAGCTGCACTGCTTTGGATTTGAATCTCAATTCTGTCCCTCAGGCAAATTAATTCCTATGAGGTGTACTTTCCTCATCAGTACAACGAGGATAAGTTTCGTACGGTTAAATGAGTCACAATCCCTTAATAAATGCTACCACCAGATTATTTCGCTAACCTGAAATGTAAAGGATTTATTTCTCCTCTTTTATTCCAGGATTCTACCTTCTAGAATCCTGCGTGTTTCAGAACTGCAGAAGAATAAAACGATGAATACATTCTCTCACTATTATTTCTGCATTTCCAGTGTTGCACCTGTTGGAAAAGAAATGCGGTGGTGAAAGAATCAGAAACGAGAAGTCACTTAACAGCCCGGTCAGCTTTATTACAGAATAAACGTGAGAGGGGTCCTCAGCCACAGAGACCCCCCAGGCTGAAAAGGTTTTATAGGGTAAGGCTGGGAGGGGCTTTCCATCTCTGCTGGCTCTGCAGCTGCTTCAAGATGCAGGTCAAGCTAGGAGGCTGAGCACTGCGGCTGGGTCAGGAGCCGCTGGGTAACTGAGGTAGGAAGTCGGGCAGACTTAGCACATCTCATTCGCCTACTAGGCTGGGAAACACACTTCCGACTGAACACATTCTGTGTCTTTGCCCTTTCCCATCAGCGCCAGCACGAGCAAAGGTACGGAGGCAAGTAAAGTGGCCTCCCTGCGAAAGGTCTCCCATGACCGGGTTTTACCCCAGGCCCTCAGCAACAACCACCTCCGACGAACCCTGCCAGCTACCTTTCAGGAATCACCTTGGGCAAAGGCCCTTCAGGGAAAAGATCCGGCTAACCGCGGCCAGGGGACGCTCAGCGCATGTGCAACGCGCCCGCGCTCGCGTTCTTTCCTCCGCGCCACCCGGAAGCCTCGCGCCGTCCCCTCCCCCTCCGCCTCCGCCTCCCCTCGCCGGCTCCGGCGGTGCGTGCGGGGCCGGCCGGGCGAGGAGGCGGGACACGTCGGCGCTGCCGCCGCCGCCGCCCCTCCTGTTCCAGCTGCCGCCGCGGCCGCCGCTTCCTGGGCTGAGTCCGCCCGCGGTCCCAGCGGCGCCAGGTGCGTTCGGCCGGCCCGGCTCCTGCCAGCGTTCGCCGCCACCGTAGGTGCTCCGGGCTCCCCGCCCCGCTGCCGAGATGGCGACGCGCTCCTGCCGGGAGAAAGCTCAGAAGCTGAACGAGCAGCACCAGCTCATCTTATCCAAACTGCTGAGGGAGGAAGACAACAAGTACTGCGCCGACTGCGAGGCCAAAGGTAACGCGGACAGAGTCGCCGCCCGTGGTCGGGGCCTCCCGCGAACGGTGACCTTCCGGCCGCCGCGGCGCGTCGGCTGGGCCGGCCGCTCCCGGCCGAGCCGGGAGGGCGGGTGCAGGGGCGGGCGCGGGGCTCTTAGCGACCCTCACCTCCGCCCGAGGCGGCGACGAGGTCCGAGCCGCGGGCTCCGTCTGGGTTCCCAGCCTCCTTTCCGCCCCGCCGGTGCCCGCGTCCGGATGTTCGGATCCTCCCACAATGCTGGTCTGGGAGCGTGGAACTGGGCGCCGGCCTGGGCACTGCTTGGGGTTAAAGGGTTGTCCTGCCTCTGCTCACAGCTACCTCTGTGGGTGGGGCCGCCCTTCGGATTCTGGCCCCCCTCGACCCTCCCTTGTGACCAAGTCCTGCTGCTCGGGGCTCGGATGCTTCCCACATGGAGCCCTACCTGCCTGCCCACCTGACAGCTTTTGTACAGGGTTCTTGTTTATGCTCCCTGAAAAAGACTGTGGTGGTCCTTTTTCGTGGGTTGGAGTTAAAAAAATTGGGAAGGGTCTTTATTGCTATTAGTAGTAGAAATGATCTTTAGGTTGCTGTTAGCTAGAATGAAGAGGATTTCATTACCTGAATCTCTTGGATAGTGGGATTATGCTCCTGAAGCCTTTAGTAATTCTGTTCCCTCAGACTAGATAGTTTGAGAGAACATGTGGGCTCTGGTTTGTGTACCTGATAAACGCTGAAGGTGCATTTTAAAGATCCGGAGATGGAAAAGACCTAGTTTTAGTTTGTTCAGTTGGAGGGCTTCTGCCCCAGCCTTTAAAATACATAACTATTTTTAGCTGATAGATTGTCTTTGGAGGTCTGATTTATATTTAATGCCTTGTAAGTAAACTCATGGGAAAAAATGTTTCAGATTTTTTAAAAGCAATGTCTCCTGTAGTTAGAAAACAATTTTTCTTATTTGTAAATTGGTTTGATTATTCTGTTAGAAATTTCTTCAAAGCAAGAGATGGTCAGCCTTTGGGAATATCATTTATGGATTTTGCATTATTTGATCTAGACTTTTCCTGAAGCTTTTCTGTTCTTAATACTAAATAAATGAGTCATGTTTCTGTAGGCTGCTCATGTTTGATTAGATTGAACCTCACAACATCAGCAAGTTTACTGTCTTAGCAGGTATGGGATTACTAAAAGGATCATGTGGGAATACTGTAACTAGATCATTTTCTGAAACACTTTTGAATATCTTAGTAACTCCATTGAGTTCTGTGTATCATATGTAATCTTGTAGATGATAAGTTTAAAAAAATTGTGTGCCTGGTTCTTGTGGTGATATATGTTTGCTTGGATCTTGACTGTATATGTGGTTATTTGAGAGTACTGAGGTTCAATTGTGTGCTTATCACTAACTCATTACTAGTAAAACACCGAAAAATAGGCTTTTAACAGATCAGAAAAAGAAAGGTCCTGAAGTTATATAGTACGTTTTGTTTTGAGTAATAAATAACATGGCCAAGTAGAAATTCTGGTAAGTATTAAATGTGTTCAGTAAAAATTGAGCGGGGTAGGCATTTGGCCTGCAGATTGCAATGCCTGCATCCCATATCAGAGTGCCTGGGTTCCAGTCCTGGCTCTGCTTTCTGTTGCTAATGCATACCATGGTTGGCAGCAGATGGTGATTCAAGTAGTTGGGTCTTTGCCACCCATGTGGGAGACCTGGATTGGTTCTTGGCTCCAGCTTAGGCCCAGATGGTGGCCATTGTGGGCACTCTGGGAGTGACCCAGCAGACAGGAAATCTGTTTTCTCTGCCTCCCTCCATAAAATAAATAAATAAGTAAATCTTTAAAAATAGAATAAAATCAATTTTAGTAATTACTTTCCTTTATGTGTAGGGATAATTAAAAAGTGTCTTTTTATTAAGATATCTTTCTCAAAAAAAGTACTTCAAAAATCCGATTTTTCCTGATGCTTTCTAAAACAAAGTTTTTTTTTTTTCAGTCATACCATATGTTAACAATGTTTTCATTTACTTTTTTTGGTGGAGGGAGGAGAATCATGTATTTCTTAAATTAGCATCAAAAGTTTCACTTCTAACTTGAATAGTAGGAACAACTCATTTTGCTCACTGTATTGCCACTCAAAGTGAATCTAGAGTGAATGTCTTTTTTATTGTGGTTTCTATCTGGCCTTTTGTTTGTTGGTTTATTTGTATGTGAGAAATGGAGAAAGTGGGAGAGAGGAGAGTAGATAGCATAAAGAGCTTAAGGGTGCAACTTGAAGGGCTTGAATTCAGTTATGATTTAGAAAGATTGTTTTTTCCCATGTTTCTATTAAATCTAGAATAGTGCTAAAATTATCTTGTAAATTATCTCATCGCTTTACCTTGATCTTTCAGGAAAAGTATCAGTCGTAAGGCCACTTACTGATTTCACAGTTGTAATAACTGAAAAGTTTCAAATGATTTGTAGTTTATAGAGTTAAATGCATTTTTGGAAAGTTTTGTTATCTTTGATATGGCTGAACCCCACTTTAGTGCCACTTAGTACAATCTTTGCTTGTTACATGATTTTGTTTCTATTATTGTATATGCCTCATGATGTAATAAATGTAGGTAGTAAAATTCTGATTCAATGTACTTTTAAAATACATGCTAAGGGTTTTATTATAGTTGAGTTATTAAGAGCTTCTATTCTGTTTATGTATTGTGTCTTCCTCATAATCTAATAAATTCCATCAAGCTTTTCATGTGCTTTTAAACTTATTTCTTAGTTAACTCAATTTTCTTTTTTTTTTCAAAGAATGCTTTCTCCACTGATCTTTGAGAACATGTACCAGAACTAAAGTTTGGGGTTGGAAATTACCCTGTTTTGTCGCCTTCTAATAGTTGGCAGAAGTATGTCAGTTGAATTTTGACATTTATTTACTGAGTCACCAGTTTTTATTTACTGTTTTGGCAATATTTAGGAAGTAAGGATGGAGAACAAGATAGTAAAGGTGCCAGTTTGCTACTCTTACCGAATTTTTTGGGCAGCTGGATAATTAGAACAGGCAGATGGAGCTGTACTTCTTTGGCCACATTTGTGACTTTGTGGGAGTTTTATTTATTTATTTATTTATTTATTTATTTATTTTGAGTGAAACAGGATTTACTTAAGTCAGAAACCTCCTACTGCAGTAGCCGGGAGGGGGCCTGCAACAGAGGAAGACACATTTGTGGGGGTTTGAAAGCGGCTTTGATGATTATTATTTGGTGGCAACATGGAGCAGTGAGGATGGAGTGCCCCTTGGTAACTTGAAGTAATATTACAGTTGTTAAAGCTTCATACTCAGGTAATAGCTAGCCTTGAATTTGAATATGTGTAAACTGGCCTGGAAATGATTTTCTTTCCCAGTAAGTTTGGGATAGTCAGAAACATAACGATTTTGAACCTTATTAGTTTTCCAACCTGTTTGGTATTCAGAAAGTAAGCTCCTTGTTAGGAACAGTCAATCATTTAATTCATGCCATAGATGTTAACTTGAGGACATATGGTTTGTTGAGCAGTGCTTTAGGTTATGAGACTATTGAAAATTTCTAAGACCGAGGAGCTTATTTAGTGAGGGCTGTCTTTTTGCAAATGAGTAGTTCTAAAGCAATGCTAAATTCTATCACAGTTTTAAGAATGACTTCCCTCTCCCCTTATTTCCACTTCTACTAAGTTGGGGTCTTGTTCCCCTTGTACCCTGACTTTTGCCCATTGGTTGTCCTTACAGTTCCTAGAGTGCTTCCTCAAGGCCTTTGCATATGCTGCTTTTTCAGCCTAAGAAGCTCTGTAACAGCTTTTGGGTAATTGGCTTTTACTCATCTTCCTGGTTTCTACTTCATTTTCAAGGGAAGTGATTCTCCTTGATCTGTCACATTAGGTTCAACTTTGATTTATACATGTAGAGCGTCACCCTGAATTGTTTATTGTACTTAGCACAGTTGTAATTAAGCTTGTATTATGGTGTACCCAAATGCCTGTTAATTATAGCTGCAAGAGAGAAGAGACTTTGTTTATCTTGCATGGAGTAGTTACTCTCAGGCCTTAGCACAATATATATGACATGTGATAGGTAAAGGTAACTCAGCAAATAGCTTTTGAACAAAGTAATGTGTGAATGAACCTGGAGCCCATAGAAGGAGCAGGGTGTGTGGAAGAGTGCACCTGTGAAAGGGAGTGGCGTATAGAGTAATGCTGTTAGTCACTGAAGTCTCATTTAAGCTAGGTTCTGAAGATGGAGTGGGATTTTGCCAGTTGGAGAAGGAATTAAAAGACGCAGCTGTGCACACAAAAGCATGGGTACATAAAAGAACAGAATAGATTTCCATTTTTTTTTTTTAATTATTTATTTGAAAGGCTGAGTGAGAGAGAGGGAGAGACAGAGCAAGAGCAACATCTTACATCATCTGGTTCACTCTCCAAATGGCTGCAACAACCAGGGTTGGACCAGGCTAAAGTCAGGAGCCAGGAGCTAAATCTGGTTTCCCACATGGGTGGCAGAGACTCAAAGATTTGGGCTGTCATGTGCACCTTTCCTAGCCTCATTACCAGGAAGCACCTTGGAAGAGGAGTAGCCAGGACTCAGGCACACTCCCATTATGGAATGCTGGTGCCAGAACTCAGGCCCCTGTTTGACTTGTTTGTTTCATTCTTCCTTAAGCATAATCAGATTGGGTAGTGGCAGATCAGAGCAAGAACTGGGATAGTGAGAGATTGGAGGCAAGTCAGTTAGGAGGTGTTTAACAGCCCAGAGAGGGAATAGGGGACGTAATCTCAGGTAATGTCAGTGTATCAGTTAGGGTGTAGAGCAAGAAACAGATCCACTGTAGCTATTTTTTAGCTAAAAGTGGTATAAGGAAAAGGTTTTTTAAAAAAATCATTGGAAGAGTTGGAGGAGGAAGAGTCAGGTAGTCATTACTGGACTTCTGGTTTCAAGGCCACATATACTGCCAGTGTTACCACTGTCCCATTGCCATGGCTGCTTTTGCTCACAAAGCTGGTGAGATGATAGGGGTGCAGAGACTGTGGTTGCTGCAACCACTGAATGTCCATTAGATATTTTATTTTTAAAATTTATTTAAGGGGCCAGCATGGTGGTGTAGTGGGTAAAGCTGCTGCCTGCAGTGCTGGCATTCCATATGGACACTGGTTTGAGTCTCGGCTGTTCCACTTCTGATCCAGCTCTCTGCTGTGGCTTGGGAAAGCGGTAGAAGATGGCCCAAGTCCTTGGGCCCCTGCACCCGTGTGGGAGACCTAGAAGAAACTCCTGGCTCCTGGCTTTGGGTTGTTATGGCTCCTTGCTGTTGCGGTCAGCAACAGCAGGATGGAAGACCTCTCTCTCTTTCTCTCTTTCTCTCTCTGGCTCTGCCTCTTTGTAACTCTGCCTTTCAAATAAATAAATAAATTTTTTAAAAATTTATTTAAGAAGAAGGGGAGAGAGAGAGGAAGAGAGGAAAAAAAAAAGAGAAAGAAAGAAAGAGAGCTGACATTCACTGGGTCA